TGCATCTGTGGGGAAAAGTGAGATAGTTTTGCCCAAACTGGGAGGAGTAGAAAATATAGGCAACTCTGTTTATTGACAGATTTGAAGAGTTTTATGTACAACCCAACTATTCTTCATTTTTTTTTTTTTTTTTTATTATTTTAAATTTAGTGGGGCTACATCCATTGTCTACAGATGCAGGCAGAAAGGGACCCAGAAACCTTACGCCGTCAAAATGTTGAAGAAGACAGTAAGTCATTTTTGTTTTGTTTTGCTTTGCTTTGGAATATGTTTGGGATTTTCTCTGGGTTTTTTTTCCTTTTTTTTTTTCCTTTTTTTTTTTTTTTTTTTTTTTTTTTTTTTTTTTTTTTTTTTTTTTTTTTTTTTTTTTTTATTTTTTTAAATTTAGTGGGGCTACATCCATTGTCTACAGATGCAGGCAGAAAGGGACCCAGAAACCTTACGCCGTCAAAATGTTGAAGAAGACAGTAAGTCATTTTTGTTTTGTTTTGCTTTGCTTTGGAATATGTTTGGGATTTTCTCTGTGTTTTTTCTTTTTTTTTTTTCTTTTTTTTTTCCTTTTTTGTTGTTGTTTTTTTTTTCTGTGCAGTTTATTCATGTGGGGGAAATGTGCTAGATTTAGGATTATAAACTGCTAAACTTGTATTTTCCGTGAGTGAGCTTTGACTCCTCATCACTAAAACAGCTGTTGGAGGTAACAGTACTGTAGAGGAAATGCCTAATCCCCCCAAATCTGGCTTGTACCTTCAGCTGGTGTTGTCCATCTACACTTGGATTTGGTAGAAATCCATCTACACTTGGGTTTGGTAGAAAACTTTAAGAAAAAAATATGTCTTTTTCTTTCATTAAAGAAACAGAAAAGGACCTTGAAAAATTTAAGTACTCACTGTTTTATCTTTGATGTAATACATTGTTTTGCTCAAAAAATGCCATGACACAATTCATCTTTTTTCAGAAACCGATTAAAACACCAACTCAAACCCAAGTAAAATGAAATATATTGTAGTGCGTTTTTTTTACCATTACAAAATTGCTAGAGAACCAGTTGAGATGACAATTTATTTTTAGAACTCCATATATGTCACACTTATACTACAGCTATTTTTGTGTGTTCTGAAAAATAGATGGTGGAAAGCAAGAAGAGGAACTAAGAGAAGAAAGGCAAGTTATGGACTGAGAGACTTCATGCAGAAAGACACTGTGGGGCATGGGGTAGAGCAGTTCATATTCCTAGGATGGAAAGAGAAGTCTGAGAGAAAGCAAGCAAGCTGTGAGGCATGTACATGATATTTTTTCATGAATGGCTTTGATTCAGTTTATCCCAGTGTTAGAACATTCATTATTCCATAATGTTCCAGAACATTCACATGTAGAAACATAAGGATGGGTGGGTAGGCATAACCATGTCCAAATGGTGACTCCACTGGTGGTCCCAGTGCAAGATGTAATGAGTGGGTTTCACATGAGTAGAATGTTGGCATTAATTTGTCATCTTTGAATGTGAGCCAAAGATTAAACTGGCACAAAGATTCAGTTGTGTGTACTGCTTTTGAATTTGCATCTGGTACACTGGAAGAAGCAGAGCATGTGCATTGCTGCAGCTTGTGGTCTGCTGTTCCTATGGAAGAGCAAAAAATTTTTGAGGTTTCATCTGTTCATTATGCCAGTGATTCCCATAATGTTTTAGGTGTATACTGTCCTATAATTTTCATTCTGAAATGCACTAGGAAGAGCTACATTTATTAAAAATATTTCTTTGCCTTTTGATTTTTTTGCCTTCATGGAAATTAATTCATGTTTACAATTGTCACATTTATGTATTTATGCTAGATATATTTTTCTGTGTCTGAAACTAGTCACTTTAGACTTTGGTAGACTTACTGTAGCACAGGTTTGTTTTTTTGGTTTTTTTTAATGGCACTGAAGGAAAAGACTATAGTTGTGTAACTTATAAGTTGTTTTTACATCAGCAATAATATATAAGTTTGACTTAATGCAGCCTTGGTTATATTAGCAGTGTGGTTAAGCAGCTCCCAGAGCTGAGTTCCCAGTGTAAATGATGCACTTTGGGATGTTTTGCTATGAAAACAAGTAATCCTCTTACACAAATGAGCTTTTCTGTGTAAATGAGAACATGGGAGACAATGCTTTAAGGATGTGCCATTGCTTGTGTCTGTCCAGTTTGGAGATGTAATTATTATCACAGGATCTGAACTACCGGAGAGTGCTCCTACAACAGGAGGTCTGATCTTTGCTCACAGTATCTCAGTATAAAAAATAGCCACATGTGAGCCAAGTCATGTACTAAAATGATGATCAGCTTAAGTTTTCTGTTGCCTTTTTGAAAACAATTAGATAAAAGGCTGGCAGTTCAATAGTAGAGGAAAAGGGATGGGAGGAAAAGCAGAGGAGCCTGTGATTGTTTTTTGGTAGAGTCCCATTTACGAATTCCATTAATAAATGTGCATAAGGGAGCTCTGAAGAGCACACAGGTTGAAATTAGAAGACAAGGAAAGATGACAAAAGAGCAGATACTCTTGATTTTTCCATTCAAACTGACTGTCTGAACAGAAATAGTCTGCTGCTTCAAACAAGACTGACTCTCTAAGGAAGAGGTCCATAAAAACAGGATGAGGGATGGGGGATAAGGTGGTCCAGATTGCTCTGATGACATGTGATGTGTGGAGGCTGGTGGCTGATGGACAGCTCCAGGTTTCTGAGTGATGATCACTGAAGTGCTGTAATTTGAAGTAAAGCATTAGAAATTATTACTTTTACCTGATGGGAACAGCTTTGGTAAGAGCATAGGGTCCATTAGGATTGAAGTAGTCCACTAGGAACAGACTGCAAGAAACATAAGATAGCTATCAGTGTTCTTTTCATTGAAACAGAATGAGTAATTTTTCATTTTGCATAATTAATACATTCTTAGTTAAGAGCAATAAAATTTTGGGCAAGATCTATCATCCAGTTCTGAGAATACATGCTTGTACAGGGCTTTGAATTCCTAGCAGGTTCTGCAATTAATAATTTTTTTACCATCTTATTTAATAAAATAGCAGTAGATTATTTGCTTTTTTTTTTTTGTGGGGGGGGTCTGGTGGGTGTGGGTGGTTGCATCTGTGGTTTAGATGTTTTTATAGGGGTTAAATCATTAAAGAGTAACAGAACAAAACATTTATGTGAACCTTTTTGTGTGACTAAAATAAAAGTGTTCATAAAATTATATATCTGTTGACAGGTTTAGTAATTCTTAACCATTAATACAAATTTTCTACAATTTCAAAGGGAGGAAGAAAAAAGGGTTTTTACTGCTTCAAAATGATTGAAGCAGAATGCTTCCATTTTCTGTTGATTTTAGTTTTGTCAAGCCCAAGTTTAGGAGTAGTTTAAAATCCTTTAAATACACTTATGGTGAATAAAATTTACTTCAAAGAACACCTCTGATTCTTACACCTGAAGTGTTTTAATGTCAAAATTGGGAAACTAAGAGGCAAGTTAGAACTTTAGCTTCTACAGCTGCTAAAAGACTACTGTCAGAAAGGTTAAAGAGGTCCAAAGAAAAGTTGATTTTTGAATTAGCATAAGAGACACTCTCCAATAATGTATAAGAAATAAAATTTGTAATGGTTCTTAAGAGCTACAAAAAAAAAAAAAAAAAAAATTAAAACCCAACATCTATGGGTCAGATGAATAAGCATGGAAAATATTGCCTGTGATTTCCTCATCTAACCTTTGTGCTTAGTTCCTGAGCATAACTGAAATGTATTGCATGCTCATTTGCTATGTTTATCACATCTTTTAAATTCCACACAGGTGGTAAATGTAAAGATATGAACCATGTAATTTCTTTGGGGGGAAATCTATTTAATGAAGCAAGAAAGAAGCAAAAGCAGATCACATAGCACTTCAGAAAAAGTCATCAAATGAGCAGAGTACTGTTATGAGCTTTTACACTTGCAATTGCAAATATGAGATTGTTTTGCTTTTTACTATGCATTTTACGTCTCCTTGATGACTCAGTGCTACAGAAAAGTGAAATATCTTTAGGATACACTTTACAAAAATTATTCTTACTGCTCTTAAACTGAGACATAAAAATTATGTGATATTTACAGCCATTCATTCTGGAGTGGTCATTGCTGCAAATAACATATAGCATGTGGATCATATTGGAAGAATGCAGTTCTTTAAGGAAGCAAACATATATATGTTGTATTTTTTATATGAAGTCTCTTATCTGCTTTTCCACCTTTTAATGTGTTTTGAGGAAGCTAAGCAGCCTGGAGATTATCTCAGAATCTGGGTAGATGAATACCTTCCAAGAAATTAGATCCACCTCCGCCTTAAATTTCCTACCTGAGTCTGGACAAGTTGCTTTAAAAATAGTGATGAGAACAGATGGACTCTGCTGCATGGTTTCTAAACTAAGACACTAAGTGCCTGCCTACATCGTAGGTCTACCAAGTGCTAACTACTGCAACTGAAGTAATTTTGGAGCTGCCACTGCAATAAAGCAACACGCTCTACTGAAAGGAGAATAGGATTGAGAGCTGGGTTGTCTGTAGCTTGGGTCCTGGCATATTCCCAGTATTTCTTTTGGTTTCAGCTTTTTCATCCATAAAAATGAGATAATATTTATTTTATTTGCTTCTCAGCAATGCTTTGAATGAAGCCTGGTTAATATTTCTCCGTTCTAATTGATATGTTCTGTCCCCTAAGCACAATTAAGTATTATGAAATATTAGACCCTGTCTTAGTCAATGAGACATACAAGAATAGAGACTATTTTGGAGAATTTTCATTTTGATTTCCTTCTTTTTTATGTGTGGGCATCCTCCCTCACACAGTTTGTGATGCTTAAATAATACTTCTGCAGCACTTTTATCAAAATCAGTATATATGAAGTAGCATTCTTCCTGCAGACTGGTTGATATTCAAATTCAGACAAATGTTCAGGCCCATCAATTTTTTTCTCAGATCTGAAATAGAGCAACAGCTTTCAAGCAATATATACTCTGGAAATAGTTCAGCTGGGATTAATACAATTGTACAAATAAATTAGACAATTTGAGGACAACAGATACTTTACGTCTGTGGATCAGAAAGAAGAATGAGCAAATGCAAAGGTAATAGGCTTGCCTCCTGGATAATTTGGGTTGAATATCTGGAGTTAGGATCTGAAGGACATCATAATGGTTTATAAGGCACATCTAAAAAGTCTCAATT